CGTTTTACAGGATAGCTACTAGCCCTCCAAGAAACCTACTTCTGAAGATTTGAGCAGGTTCTCTGATGCAATCAGACCCATCTATAAATGCCAACATGAAGAGCGTAGAGAAATTGCGTCGGTTATGGAAGGTCTCTTCAGCAAGTACACAAGAGAAATTATGAAAGACTGTTTCAGACAAGACTTGCGAGGGCAATTACCGCTTGAAATAAGAATCATGATCTCCGAACTGATTGCTCTGTGCTGACACTTGGTTGTACTTGGTGAGACACGTAGGTTTATTGAACGCCAGAGGGATAACTGTGAAAGCCAGAGTACCCGTCTGAGGTTAACACCAGAAATGTGGGTGTCCACACTAAAGTACCGCGGAGCTTCCTACGTGGCACAACTTAGTGACAAACCGCTTGGATAAACGGGCACCTCCGGTCAATATCACATCAATCTGCCTAGTAATATTAGCATCAAAGGCCTTGTGAAGGTGCAGGTCTGCAGAAACAAAGAGCAGTCGCACCATCCATTCACGGGTCTTCTGTTATTTTACAGCGACCACTATATTGAGTCAATTGGACAAGGGCGCTGGGATTATGACCTCACTCAGGAGACTTCAAAGCCTGTTTACGTCGGAAAACGCGGACGTCGATGGAAGAGATTACATTAAGGATATTCGAAGTGACATACCTCGCCCTGAGCTTAATGTAGAAACAGGTGGGCAGGAGACGCTACCAGAGCACGGCATTATCGCTTGGTGGTTTGGCCAGCTTGGCGATAGAATAATCACATATAACGACTAGGTGGATCCAATACCAAGGTACATAAGCTCCTGACATAGAAGCTATCAGTAATTCTCAGAGGCAGCTAACTTTGAAAGCCTAGGAAGAGATGTAGTCATTTAAGCATGAATAGACTCTCCTCGTTATATAATGCATTTGTATTTCGCGCCCAATAATTATGCAGTACACATACTAACAAAGATATTTAAAGCTTATTCTAGCCAAGAATAGCATCACTATTGTAGTCAAGTCAGATTAAATATAATTGTAAGTATAGATAGTGCTTGTAATATTGCATTGACCTTAATTTTTACAATAATTCCACTGGTTTAGAAACATGAATATGGCGCATTAGGGCTATCCGTCATAAGATGGTTCCGTTTTGACAGATGAGGCTCCCCCACCACGTGACAAGATCTTCCAGTACCTTAGAACGCATACAATGGCTCGTTCAGTAAATAAAAAAGAAGATATACGCAAAAATAATCCTTGCTGATTCAAGGTCGGCAATTTATTAATACTTTTTGACTAATGATTCAGGCTCTTCTACTACGTTGTGGCTTGTTCTTCGACGATGACGGTACCCACTTTAAACTCTGATCCGGCTCTCGAAGCTCTTTGTCAGGCCTTATCTCATGCTGATAAAGCTTAACCCTACAAAGTATGTTCAATGACGCCACAACCCGAGGGCATATATATAGCCATGCTCCAATTCAGAACGACTTTTTCGTTCTTTTCTCAAAAATCAGAATCTATTACAAGAGCAATATCTTTGATCAGACATTGATACAAATCATTGAGCCGTCGCTGCACTCACCAACCAACCGTTCGCTGCGATAGCCGAAGTCCATCTACATAATCTGAAGACTCGGAGACAACAATCCATCATGTCAAAACCCCTCAGCCACATAAAGATCGCACTCCGTCGCTCCAGTGAGCGCGGATACGCCGAGCATGGCGGCTGGCTGAAAACATACCACACCTTCAGCTTCGCGGACTACTTCGACCACCGCTTCCTCAACTTCGGTTGCCTGCGAGTACTGAACGAGGACCGCGTCGCTGCACGAAATGGATTCCCTTTACATCCGCACCGGGATGCAGAGATCTTCAGCTACATTCTCAGCGGGGAGCTGACTCACCGCGACAGCATGATCAAGAAGGGGGCGGAAGGTGCGCAGGGCAAGCAATTCTACCGTATGCGAAGGGGCGATGTGCAATTCACGACTGGAGGAACTGGTAAGAACCTGCTTCTGATGTAGTATGATTTGACGAGGTGTAGATGCTAACGCATCTAACAGGAATTGCCCACTCTGAACAGAACGAATCGAGCAAACCAGTTCATTTCCTCCAAATCTGGGTCCTGCCATGGAAGTACGGCCTGAAGCCGCAGTATCACACAATGTCGTTCAGCGAAGAAGCTAAACGGAAGGCCTTCGTTCCGATCCTGTCGCCGTTGGCAGCAGGGCAAGACGCGACCCCCGCAGAGGAAGAGGCTGCTCGTCCCAAAATTCCAGATACGATTCCCATTCACGCCGACTTTCTCATGGGAGCTGGGATTATCGCGCCCAACATGACGTTCAAATGGAATGTTGGCGCAGGAGATACAGTCAGCTCGAAGAAGAAGAGGAATGTATATATCCATCTGCCCATGACTAAACAGGGCAACGCGAAGATCAGACTAGATGGAAGGGAAGATGCCGTGTTAGAAGAAGGTGATGGTGCATTTGTTACTGGAGTGAACGCTGGTGATATGCTTGCAGTGGAAAGTATTGGGGAGGCTGAGGCTGAGGTGATTGTGCTGGACAGTAATTGAGGAGGCTGGTAGTAGTAATGAAGTATAGAACTTTCGCTTTGTTTGAAATCTGGATCAAGAATCTTCACTTCCAGGAAAAGCAATCACTTCTTCTGGTCGTTGACTCACTTCACATCAGTTGCCAAAAATTTTTTCACAGTATTATTATGTTCGTTACACCTCAAAGTTTGGATCCTGTTACGCATGAATCCATTGGTATCATTAACACTCACAAGATTGTGGCCTCAAGATTGAATTTTGTTTACTTTGAGATCAAATCAATAAGACGTTTCTAAACTCACTGGCCCAGATACATTCGCTCAAATGGCAGTAAGGATGAAAAAAATATGACCAAGTAAGGACGGTTTTCCCAGCTTTCGAGATTCTCACTCCTGACCTTGAGTAGGCCCATTCAAGAGATCGACGACACGTCCTTTCTTAGTGTCCATTCTCGACAAATGGAAATTTGAAGTCCAAAGGCCTCCTTGCAACTGCACGCCCCATGACAAGTCGCTCCGCAGTCAGCTCATAGGATTGATCATCTTCGAGAAACACACGAAACTCTCGAAGTCCACGAAGATCCTGAAAAGCTTCGAGTAGCTTCCTCACGTACTTGTTCCGATGCGGGGCTGCATTGCGCCAACTAGATGATCTGGTACCCAAGTCCACGATGGTGAGAGAGAGGCGCGAAAGTTCAAAATGCTCTCGTATGAAGCGACGTAACACCGACCAAGACACCATGGCAGAGTCTTCATGTGGTTTGTGGCTAGGCTTTGCGGGGTGTCGATGCATCGCGGGGAACTTGAAAACCAGATGGCGAATCAACATGAAAGACGAAGTTGGAATACTGTTCATGAAGCCCATCATAAGATCGGGGTCTTCCTCCACAAAGGCGAAGCGGTTCATGGTAAAGAAGATCCGGCGCGCATCTTCATAGAGTGCCCGGCAAACAAGGAAGTACCTTAAAGGCGACGAAAAACAGGAGCAAGTGGTCGAGTATGCGGTCTGACGAGCACGACAGAAGCACGCCGCCTGGAGCGGAGAGCAGGTGCCGCAGCATGTGAGCGGGCGAGACTCATTTACGCGCAGAGATTTGCGATCTATGAACGATACGATGCCTGGGACCCGGCCACCAGGTGGCAGGTAGGGATCCAAGTGGTTCACCAACAGGAATTCAAGTATTATCAGCTGCACTTCTTTGGGCAGATCAAAGTACGGAAAGGTACGATTTTCACCGAGATTTCCAGTCAATCTCAGGGCATTTCTCTTCACGACGGGACGTATATCCTCCTCCGGGGTGTGACTGAAATGAAAAGCACACTGAGAGAGGGGAGGGAACGGGTCCATGGCAGACATTATCTTGAGGGCCACTGCCATGTCCTTGACTCTGCACTTGAGACTGAAATATCTGAGATTGACCATTTCCAGAGCTGCATAACGGCAAAAACGAGACCACAGCCGCAGAAGATTGCGCTGAGCGCCAGGTTTGATGAAACGATTGTCCCAGGTACGCATTTCGACATGTAAATATCTTACGTCTTCTGCGGCCCAATCGATGGCGTTAAAGAAGCAATCCCAGTCGTTCAAATTGGTAAGTATGAAACTAAAGCGGTTGTGCGACCAGAAAAGGGCGCCCAGGTCCTCCCGGAACTCGCGAGAAACCATGAGCACCTCTGTCGGCAGTCGTGGATGATCACAGAGTCGACCAGCGCGGGTGGACCAATTCCCACGTGTAAGGAAGAGATTACGCGTGTCGCACGTGTGATCAGCAGCCTGTTTGACTCTGTGTGCCTCAGCCGTTATATCGATCAAACAAGGCCGTACTAGTCCTATGTACTCCAGAATCCGAAGCTTGACTTTTCCTGGAAGTTGACACAGGGACTTGCCATCCTTCTTCGAACCGGATATGCTTGTGGTGTCTTTCCCTCGATCTGCGCCCTTGGAGTTAGACGCTTGGTCTTCAGATGATGATTTGACCGTGCTCAACGACTCGAATAATGCAAAGAAGGACTCTTCATCGGGGTCGAGCCGTCCCACCAGGGATCCGTTGCGATGACGCTGAAGGAGTGACTCGTCTGCAGAGGTCAGAATTTGACCTAGGAAGGTAGCAGACTCCGAGTGAAGTTCAGTCTAGGACTTACCCATGACGATCGGCAGGTTGAAGAAGGCTCTGCGTCTCGAAGACCACAGGGAGTGTAAGATTAATTATCAGCCGTCAAGGAGACAATGGGGTGAAATAGGCAGGTTAAGGAGGTCACACAAGAGCACCGAGAAGCGGCAGATGCTCTCTATGAACACAATGGGTATAATGGAAAGATGCTAAGTGAAGTGATTCCTTTGACCGAACATGTAAACACTGCACCCGGTACCGGGACGCGCTATCACGGGGCCGATCTAGGCTCGCATTCAATGCCTGGGGCATTCACTACCAGGGCACTTCACAACCCCTCTACCTTGACCTTTGCCCCTCCAGACACCGAGTCCTCATCCTTCAGAACTTCATCCTTGACTTTCACTCCTGTTGTCTTCTTTGACAGAAGTCCTCTGACTTCGCTCTTGCACAACTTGGTCCCAGCAAGATCGCACTCACCACACCTCCGGCCAACAGGTAGGCAAACTGTCTGTCCTAAGCCCACAAGCAATTTGTTAATTTCGTGCCATTTATCCCTAGGGAGCCAGGACTCTAATGCCATGCGTGTCTCCTCAGGTGTCTTGGTTTTGTGCCAACCCCAAAGATTCGTGATACGGTGAACGTGCACATCAACTCCAATTCCTTCGTCCTTCCCCCAGGCAGCACTCATGCAGAGATATGCCATCTTTGGCCCCACGCCGGGCAACTTCATGAGCTCCTCGGCGGTCGATGGTATATCTGAATTGTACTGATCTCGGAGTATTTCAGCCGCTGCCTTGATATATTTGGTTTTGTTGTTATGGAAGCCGACGGTCCTGATTAGCTCGTTCAGTCTCTCAGGAGAGACTGCCAGGATGTTCTCGAGATTCAAAGTGCTATCTCTCAAAGGCTGTGACGACTTGAGCTCAATATCTTCTTGCTCTTCTTTCTTGACTATGGGATCTTCTGCTGGGGCCTTTCCGTCCCCCAGCTCGGTGTGTAACCGCTGCATAGCCACAGCTGTCACTGTGTCCTTGGTCTGGGACGACAACATCAATGCAATAAGGGTCTGAAATCGTTTGTCTCTGGGAGACGATGATCGCCAATAGAGTTCCGCGCAGCCCATGGTATCCACAGGAGCCGTCGGGTTGTTCTCCCGCATTTTCTTGACCATGGAATAGATGGTCTCCCAGTTCGATGGCGGTTCTATCTTGATTGAACCATCATCGCCCTTGATCTTGCGGGCTGGTGCACGACGTGATTTTGGTTTCGCAGACTCCACCTTGACGGTCTCGGATTTTGTGACGGTCCTAGCGGGTGCTCGTGTCGTTCTCTTGGTGGACGGGCTGCTAGGGCTACTCTTTCTCTTTTTCAGAGGGGGTTCCAAGATATCCTCGATGTCCACAGTATGAGCCGATGAGAGCGACGAAGTATCATCACCGTCACTCATCGTAGGCACAGTCTCAGCATGGCCATTTGCGCCAGCATTGAAGGCAAAGCGCTGAAGGACATTTGTCCTTGACGAGCTACGCGTTTGGCGTCGCGTAGGAGGCGAGAGTGCCTGCAGAAAACTTGCCGTGTCTTTGGAAGTGCGCGAAGTACGCATTATTGATTGTCTAGTTTCGTAGATAAAGTTGATTATGTTACCTCGCGAATATAAGAACTTCATGTGAATAATGTGAAGATCCCCCCATACAAAGGGGCGGAATTTTAGCAGTTGGTGCTTAGCTGCTTACACATGGTTTCCCCGACCACGGAAACCCAGACCGCGGAACTGTTCAGTGACATGGGGAAGACCCACGGCCACTGCCAGTTGAACCTCGGTGCAAGTATCCTATCGACCGTTTTGGGCGAATTATCACCTTGAGAGCTGCTTCAAACTCCTTAGCCTCTCCTTCATTCATCTCAATTCTGGAATCACGGTCGGGAGCCACATCCTACCCAAAGCAGGCACTTCAAACCCCTGACCTCGTTGATCATCGATTGCGACCGCGGCTTCCCACATTCTTGAACCGCCTGCTATGGCGTCAACCTCGACGACCCAGCGCCTCCTCCGCGAACTGAAAGACTACACCAAATCCCCGAACGAGGCCTTGCTCCATCTCGGCCCCGTAAACGAAGATGACCTCTTACACTGGGAAGCAGTCCTGAAGGGCGTCAAAGGCACGCCATACGAAGGTGAGTTAGTCAATTTAGCCGCCGGTCGCCGCCCGCCGACCGACAGTATCTCACCCTCCCACTCCACACGCATACTTTTCCTTCGACATCACGTCATCTTAATATCTGCTTCAGCAATGCTAACGCATATGGGTATTTCAGGCGGCCTCTGGGGCCTCAAAATCGCCATCCCACCGAACTATCCCCTCGCGCCGCCCAACATCCGCTTCACAACTCGCATCTCCCACCCTAATATCTCCTTCACATCGGGCGAGATATGTCTCACGCTCCTGACGACCGAGCACTGGAGTCCCGTCTACACGCTCTCGACGACGTTAACGGCCATCCACCAGCTGCTTACTGACCCGCGGCCGGATTCGCCGCTGAATGTCGATGTGGCGGCGCTGCTGCGCGACGGGGATATCCCGGCGTGGGAGAGTATCGTTCGATATTGGACTGAGGAGGAGAGATGGCAGGGGCAGGGGACTGTTAGTCGATGATCGGAACGCGAAGGGAGCGATGAGGAGGGAATACCCGACATTTCTTGGTCATTTTACGAAGAGCGGTAAAGATATCTGTTACGTATATACATCTACATACCCGATGGATCTGGAGTTGCATATAGCCTTTTTCTTTGGATAGTTGTCTACATGTGGAGAGACAGGAAGTGGTTTCCTCGAGGAGCTGTAAATATTCACTGGTATCAACTATCGAAGTAGATGAAGCACCCATCTTCAGACGCAGCTGCTTTGCTAATATGCACGTTTATGGACAACACAGGATCACCACGTCCCGTCAATGATAAGGAGAGACACGATACGCTAAAAGCCAAAGGTATTAACAAGAATAACCCGCTGGTATAACCGTATAGACCAGATATTCAAAATGAGAGACAACAGTCGGACGCCAGAGACCATGCAAAGGATCGTAAAAGGTCGGAGTCATGTCATGAGTAAATATGAAACAAGGAATAAACGCCATCAGATGCAAATAAACGCAAACTGTGAGCACAACCATAAAACCAGGATATTCAGCTTAATCGGAAAATACTGGGGTCAAGGTGACCCTGCCAACTTGCCCGGCTGTCTAGAGAGCCATGGCCACGGCGGCCGCGCCTCCAAGCATGACGAGCAGCTCCTTCTGGAGCCCGGTGATGGATGCGGCGTTGCCGGTTTGCAGGCCGGGGGCCGGTCCGGTCGTCGTGGCGCCTGTGGCGCCTGGGTTGGAGCTGTCTCCCGTGGGGTAGACGACCGTCACGGCCGTGACGGTGCTCCGCTGGCCATTGGGGAGAGTGGTGGTACTCTTGTAGGTCGACGTGTAGGGGGTACGGGTGGTGGTATGCTTGCTGGTGGTTTGACCCTCAGTTGTGGAGGAGGCAGTTGTCAGAGTTGTGCGGGTTTCCGAGCTGGTAGTCGAGGTGGTAGTAGTAGCCGTGGTGGGGGCAGGGGTGTCCTGAGTAGTCGACGTTGTGGTCTCGCTTGTAGTGGTCGTAGTAGTAGGCTGCGTCTCAGTAGTGGTAGGAGGGGGGTTGGACGGGGTGGAAGTCGTCGTATGTGACTCGGTGGTGCTAGTCGTTTCCGAAGTGGTCTCCTGAGTAGTAGTCGTAGGCGGCTGCGTCGTTGATGCAGGAGGATTGGGCGAAGACGTGGTGGCGTTGCTGGCGATGTCCCTTGGGAGGTTCAGATGCGCTGCCAGTGACCGATCCTCTCTCTGGATGGCATCAATGGCGTCTCTGTCAGTGGGGAAGACACCATGGCGGAATCTCTCGATGAGATGCAGAGCTCTGTGAATCGAGTTTTCATTGATGTTGTTGAGGTTCTCCGAGAAGGTATCCTCTTTAGGAACCGGCACTGGCTCGGACTGCTCGGGAGCTGGAGCTGCGATAGCTGACGACGCAACCAGAGAGACAAAAAGCAAGCGAATTAACGGGTTCATGGTGGTCAATGTACGGACTCGAGGGACCTCGCAATCGGTGACGGATGGAGAGGGGAATTCAGATCAAATGAAGTGCAGAAGATTGCCTGATTCAGCAATAGGCTGAGATGCGAGGAGATGCAATGCTGTGAGACAATTGATTATCCACTGCTAATATTAGCAACCGGTAGGCGTCAGGTAAGTTGCTTGACGAATAGCAGTTGCAGCAAGTTGGACGCCAATTTGCAATGAAAAGAGAATTATATGCAAGAAGAGAAGATGAGGAGCCCCCAGAAGGTGTTCGGGTCCTTTTGTTTGTTCCCGGTTTGGATGCAGGCTACGTAACTGTAGAAAAAAAACTAGACTAGTGAAGGCCCAAGACTAGTAGCTATTTAGTGACTCCAAAAATCGTTTGTTTCGGCTTCGCATTCAGTTGAGCATACAGTAACCGACCAATCAGGACGTTGCGCCTTGGTACCACCAGTGGATCAGCCATGGAACCCGAGGAGCACTCGGACTTTTACCACCAGAAAAAGACATCAGCAAAACAATGGCTGATACCTAGCAGTAATAATAATAATAGACTAGAAGGTGGCAATGCTACGGAGTACAACTGCTTCTTATCCGACCATAAACACTGCAGTTCATTCCTTGCATGTCTCAAAAAGAGTAATTAGCCTTCATTGCTGTCAATAGTACGTATCAGCTTCTGATAACAGCCTTATCACTGAGCATTTATCATGTTTGAGACTGCTGAAAAGTCCATCTACCCAAGTTGTTTGAACATTATTGCTCATGTTTACTATTTTCATGTCTCAAAGCGAACATGGTAATTGAACAACAATGAGTACTAGAGACTGATGGAACCAGGGAAAGAGGAGGGGAAACGGCCAACACATGCAGTTCCAAGTTAGGAGTCGGCCTAATCCGTAACACAAGGTTCTGTCAAGATTCGCTTTCGGATGCGACATCATCATCGAGCCTCTCACGGCCAATCAAACAGGACACAAGCATGAGATCAGGATTACGCAAGAATTGATAGCCATTGTTGGCGTTTCTGAATTAACCTGAACATCTAGCAGTGGTACGCGACCGCATTTATTTGACGAGTGCAGTTAAGAAGGAATTAGAATCCATCACAAGTTAAATGGAATCGAAAATCTCAGGCCCGGGAAAACGGCCCAAAGAATCCCTGGATCATGTAATGTTGAACCTGAATCGCATAATTGCTGAACCGGATAAGGAGCTCATCCGCTCGACGCCGCACTAGGACAAGTTGTGACTTGCGTGGTTCCAAAAGAATCCTGATCTTCTATTTTTTGCGGCTGTGGCTTGCCTGAGTGGGGTTGCACACTCGATGATATGATTGGCCCTTACTGACTTGAGAATCGCCCAGTTGTTTTCAGGATACATTGGTGGGAATTATTGCTTTATACCCATTATTTATTATTGCTACACAGTTGATTAGCCCGATATCCAACTTTGTACCTCTGCAGTCTGCAGGCCATCAGCACAAGCAAATTAGTGGACTCGGTACTTATGTTCTTCTAGATCGTGCTTCGGTATTGTGCAGGATGCCCAGACGTCTCTCTCTACCTTTTTGATGGATGCCCATAACGCGGCATACGGGGCCACAAATTGGTTCTCTCTCCAAATAGTCTGAGACACCGGCACTATTTTTGCCAAAACATCTTTCCTTTCTATAAATATCCCCGAATAAGGCTACGACCGAAATCTGGCGGCACTATTATGAGGTTGACCCAGTCAACGAGAGCACTCTAATCTGAGTGTTGAGATCATCGACTTCGATTCAGGTAACTAAACAACCTCCCTTATGTACGAACAGGGGATATGCCGCTGGCAATTCTAAGTTTTTTTGATTTTGCTAGACTTTCGGATTGCTTGGTCTAACAATAGAACGTGACTTGACAAAAAGAAAATATAGAAAGCGGACAAACATAGAACGGCTTCAAGGCCAAAGCCCGTAATATGTGCTGTCACTGCCAATCCTCAATATAGGAGCATGTCGTCCAGAATCTCAAACCACAGGCAAACCAGACACACTATGAACCATTTCTCACCATCGAAACACGGTTATTGTTGACTATGCCCACCCAGGCACCCCATCCGACAACCCTGCCATAGATGGCATCGGCAATCTCCCTCACGGTCGCCCTGTCGCTGAGCCTGCTTCGATCGATCGGTGCACTCAGTGCAATGAGCTCGAAGAAATAACGATGGGGACCATCTTCCGGGATTGACTTGGGTGGAAGATACACGGTATTGCGTCTGTTCTTCCCGTACTTGAATCCGCCTTCGAGCATATACGAGTCACTGTGCGTTCTGCTCACTTGGAAGTCGCCATGCTCGAGTCCGGTGAAAACGCGTGGGATTCCGTAATATAGCCCGTGGATGACCGAATGGGAAAGAGGAGCATCAGGGTCCTCGGCCATGAGAAGGTATTCTCGGATATTTCCGGTGGGGGAAGGCCATTCCAGAGCCGGAAAGAATCCTGCTCCCTCTTCCATGTGGTCG